CTTGGTGAGGTGGCGTAACGGATAGCGCACTCGCCCGGAAAGCGTGAGGTGCGGGTTCGACTCCCGCCTGGGGCACGACTTTTGCCCACAACTCAGCATTCTTGTGATAACTGTTATGAGTGTTGTTTCAAAGAAGTGCCGGTAAGCCACTTGAGAGTTTCAGAAGTGAACAAAAATCTCTTAATGAGCACACAAAAATAGCTCCAGCATAGACATAAAAAAACAGAAATTCTACCAAGAACTGGGGAGAACGAGAACAAGACCAAGGGGTGATAAGATTATAGGCCCTTGCCAAACAGTGGGACCATTGTCAAGGAAGTGAAGATTGGGACAGGAGCTCTGGAATGGCTAAGCGATTCTCACGATAGTAAAATCTCCTATTCGCATTACGACTTTTCAGCCCGTCAAATGGCCCTTCAGTGTACTCCGATAGCGCTTTCTGAGGACCGCATTTCCTCTGAACAAATATAACAAACCCCTATCGACCGAAAGCGTTCCCCAAAAAAAAACTTAAAAAACACATCGCTTATCAGTAAGATGTCCCTATCGGGTCAGTGCGTCAATCTCCACAAGGAAGTTCCTCGTTCCTGCTGACGTTCAAACACGGAACACAACTGGACGCGTAGAGACAAGCATGAGTTCCAGAAAGCAGTAGCGATCAAGCCGAAGTAGTGCCTCTTTATAGGAAACTTAAGAACATCGAATGTAGATTACAAATGTCTCTAGAGACCCATCTTGGAATTGAAAGTCATGGCTAGTGGGCTTTAAATATGACTATATACATTACATATCACAAGGGTGAAGAGGGCGTGGCCGTGTATCCATCGGGAGTGGCGACGGCTGCGCTCTTGTTGGGATGCTGTCAATTCATAAAATCCATAAATAAAGGCAGTGGGCAGGATCGCTTGTGTCCTCGGAATCCTTGAGACGCGGCGGGCGTGGCTGCTTACTGGAATTGAACGTGGCGGCGGCAAAGTTGTTCGTGAGATATTTTGACTTTCAGGCAGTTCGAATAATGTCTTTGTCCAATACACAACAAAATGCCAGTTGTCTCGAATTGAAATATCCTACGAACAACCCAACCCCATGTTCAAATGTCACGCCCACTTCGTCTCAGGGATAAGGAGTGTAGTCAGTGTCGTTGGTGCCTGAGTGCAGTGTGGCTCACAAGCTGTACCAGAAATTTTGCCAGCGATGCTGGCAAGAACCGCCCGCCTCCAGTTGCGCCCAGTGCCTTCAAATAAAGAAACGCCCTCCTCATCTCGGGGATTTGGACTATGAGTTTTCAATAATACAGCACCAGCTGTAAGAGAAGAGAGCGAATCTTCGGCACATTATGCTTTATGCGTTCAGAAAACGATGCCATGGAACCAGTTAAGAGCATAGGCAGAATTCTATGGAGAAGGCACGATAAGTGCTATTCAGTATTGATTCGATTCCACGAAGTCTAGATAGCCAGAGCCTTGGTCCAAAAGGGTACTTGAGAGTATCCTACTGAGTCTGATGTAAAAACCTAAAGGTGACAATCGAGTAGTTCCTTCAAGAATGTCCACTGGCATCATATGCAATTGCCTGAAGTCCATGGAGTTCAAATTCAGTGTGTGCCGGCCAGTACGCATTGGAACCTCCACTGGTTGTCTCCGGCAGCATATTGGTGACTTTGAATGCTAGGTCACGCATATTGTCAGTACTCATCCAGTATTGCAGGTTCCGATTGTCACTCTTTTCAGAGAATGTGTAACATTTCAAAGTGAACGAGGTTTGAAAGGTCCGATGTTATGATATTTTTATGCTATGTGATTGAAAAGAGATGACACTTGGAAGCACAGTTATTAGTTATTTGTAAGCTTTTACACCATGTATGGGGAAGACGGCAGCGATGCGAACCCTTTCAATAGCTTTGGGTAAGAAAGTTGCTCAGTAAGGGCACTGAGAACGAGAATAGAATAGATACCGAGATATGAACAAGGTCTTTCTGAAAAGTCTTCATAACGTGGTAGAACGGGCCTTACCTTCTTTAGCTCACCTACAAACTCTAATGCAAAAGTCATTCTTTAGCGAAACTCTGTCTTGAAGGTATAAAGAGAACGAAACCGCGAAAGAAGTGAGGTTGTACCGGAAGTACTAATAAAAACTAAGGCAGTATGAAGGAGACGTGAATCCAATTCAGTAAGAGCAGAGTAAACATGAATGTACAATTAAAAGCGCTAGCGTACAGCGACCGGTTCCGTGCACCTTGTCGAAATTGCGGGAGCCAAACACATGTTAGAGGTGGCAAAATTTCCGAGGCTCATCAGAAAGTAGAAAACAAGTAGTATGTAATGTTGTTCAGGAGATTCGGCACCATGACAGTACAGTAGCCTCTCCAATGCGTACTGAATTTGTAAGGGACCAGGAGCACGGATTGGCATGACTCTGCTAGGACTCGTGATAGACGATATGAGAGGTCAGAACGATAAGGAGTCGTTCACTAAGTGCGATAAGAGTCTCATGTGTAAATGAAAGGACTTCATAGACGGACCAGATTTGTATCTCTGTGCTGTAGCGTTACTGCAAGGTCATGAGAACAACCGGGTCTGCCCAGGAGCCAGCCACGGGTCACGCCCCTCGACAGCATGCGCTCAAAATCATAATAATTGAGGTAATAATCAAAAATCTGTATAGAATAGCACTGTTGCAGGGACTTTGGTTCGTTTCGCCACTTTTCAAACGAGTCTTTGCTAGTGAAAAACTTTTTACATGAAAGCCTGATGGCGCGCATAACACATTCTGTGAAGAACCGGTAAAGATGTAACTCTCAAAAAGACTGCCTATTTTGA